TTTTTTTTTTTTTCTTTTTTTTTTTTCTTTCCTATCTTTGAATATTTCGTGTGGGTTTAAATATATAAAGTGTTTGTGTTTGTATTCTTTTGTCGAGATACAAATGGTTGTTGAAAGGGGATGTTGTTGTTATTATATAAAAAAAAATTTTTTTTCAATACGAAATATTTTATCCGGTTAATTTCGTTTTTTTTTTTTTTTTTTTTATATTTTTACACAATCGTAAAGTTTAAAATATATATTTTTATTTATTCTATGTATATATTGTTTAATTTAATTATATTGATTTATTCAAACAATAATCGATGGGTTTATATTTAATTCGAAAAATTTTTTTTCTTCGATTTGGCCATTTTGCCACCGTTTTGCCGCCATTTTGAATTTTAACTTTTATGCGTACCCCTCATATGCGAATTAGAAAAAATTCCGTTTGTTGTTTATTCGTTTTTTATATTAATAATAATTAAAAATCTTTTGTTAAATAATTATTTATTTATTTAAATAAATAATTGTTGTTGTTGTTGTCGTACAATCGACATTAAAAAAATTAGCAAAAAAAAATTTTGTTGTTCTGTTTTTCATTTGCAAGTTTCGTTAATTACATGACGGTAAATTATAATGACCCTTGACCTATATTTTATTAAAATTATTTTTTTCTCCTTTTTCTTTTTTTTTTAAATCCTTTTTTAGTCTTTTCTCCATTTTTTTTAAATTTTATTTTAATTTCCCCTCGTTTGACAGAAAAAAAAAAAAAAATTTTTAAATTAAAAAAATTCTTAACAACAAATCGAATTTCTTTTTTTTTTTTTTCGCAACGTTCATTTGTTGTGAATATAAGACCATAGTGATTTTCGTTTTTTTAATATTTTTTTAAAACTCCGCTAGGTGGCAGAGTTTTAAAAAATTTATATATAATTTTTATTATTATTATTATCATCATTATTAATCGTTCGCAATTTAAAAAAAAAAAATTGCTAAATCACGTGAACGCGTGTGTGTTAAAATGGCGGACGGTATCAAAATTCGTTGGGAATTTTTTTTAAACACTTTTTGCGTTGCGTATTTTTCGTCGCGATTAAATAAAAAATAAAAATTACATTCTATTAAGATGAAACAAATGAGAAACGAATCCTTAACTAAAATTTACAACCAAAAAAAATTATTATTATTATATCTCCATTTCCAAAAGTAGTTTAATGATAATAATAATAATAACACCTCACGTTTCGTTCTGCGCCTTAATACGTAAAAAAATAATTCAAGGTGAAGGAAAACATTATAAAAAAAAAAAAAAAATTAGAATTTGAGGTCAGATCAGACCCCCTCGATCGTTAAAAAAAAAAAATAATAATAATAATAATATTTTACACCACATATACACAAAAATTTTTTTTTTTTTTTAAATTTTGCGATGATAGTTTTAATATATATAAAAATCATTTTAAATCGTGGTCAAACTGAGGAAAAGAAAAAAAAATACCATAATAATAATAATACTAAACAATAATTACGACGACGATGATAATAATAATAATATGATTTGCAATTACAATCATCGTTTTTGTTATTTTTTAAATTTCCATTACTTGAATTGTAAAAAAAAAAAAATTAATGTGCTCATAGGCGACTTTACCCTTCAAATATTATCATTATTATTTAAATAAAAAATTATTAAACGACGTCTTATCGATAAGAAGAAAAAAAAAAATTTGAAATTTTTTTCAAAACATGACGTCATATAAAAATCGTCAAGGAAATTTTTTTTAAATAAATAAATAAGATTTAGGCCGTTTTTGATTAAATTTTTTTTTTAACGTTCGAATCGATGATATCATATATATTAATATATATTATATATATCGATGAGAAGAAATAGATAATAGACAAACGATATTTTAAAAAAAAATAAATAAATAAAAACGTTTGACCGCCATTTTGATAAATACTCAACACGGAAGAGAGTTTTAATAGAGATATTGATAAAAAAAAAATATTTGATTATCGATTGATTGATCCACGTGGATAATCGATAATATTTTATTAATAATAATAAGTGAAAAATTATTATCATTATTATTATTAAAAACTTTCTAATTTCTAGATCGAAAAAATTAAAAAATTAAAAAGTTTTTTTTAGAAGGACGTTTAGACCTCCATCGAACGAGCGCCATTGATTCGACGAAAAAAAAAAAATTTCGTATGTAGATAAGAATAGTTTTGTGATTTATAAAAAGATAATGAGTTCCGATATGTGTATAATGATTAAATTAATTCATTTTAAATTAAATCTCCCCGTGACTTTTTTCCTTCTCTCTTTCTCACGCACGTACGCACGCACACTCCTCTCTCTCTCTTCTTATACCTAATCGAAATGACTTCGTAGAGAAAGAGAGAGAGAGAGAGAGAGAGAGAGAGCCTAACTTGTTTCGACATAAGTACGACGTTATAACCACTTTCGCATTTGACGCGAGTGTCGGTTGTTTTACCCGTTCGTTATTATTTTACCTTCTCATTTTTTTTTTTCTTGTTTGTTTGTTCATTTCGTCGTGTAAGTAATTAATTATTATTATTATTATTTATATTATTTTATTAAAATTAAATCAATTATTATTATTATTAATAACAAACGTATAATGAACGAAATTCGACGTGTGCCGGTTTTATCGTGGAATCAGTCGATTTAATTTTTCAAAATGGTGGCCTTGATCGAATCGATAATTGCGGTTATTTGAATTTTGGAAAAAGAATTCACGTATATACGTCGCGTATATTTTCTAACTTCATATTGTTTTTTAAAAAAAAAAAACCGTTAAAATGTTTTTCAATAATAATAATAATAATAATAATAATAAAGGAAATATTTTTTTATTTATCGAAATTCGATTGTTGGAAACTCGATCTGGAAATACGGTGATGATTACGATTTCAATCAATTAATAAAAATTTTTGTTCTTTTTTCGTTTAATTAAAATCATTAAGTGTTTAACGATTGTTAACTTGCACTTGAAAAGATTTTTAAAAAAATATTATTATTATTATTAAGATACGTTATATCAATTAAAAAAAAAAAAAAATTCTCTCAACCAGTTTTATCTTAATTTCAAGGTTGATATTTTATAATAAATAACAATTTTTTTTTTTTTTATTATGTATTTTGTTATTTACTACGTGTACTTTGTACTATATTAATATTATTATTATTAGTATTTGTTATTAAAAGTTTTCCTTTACCCTTACTTTTATTTATAAAAGTTATTAATTAATTAATTTATTTATTTATTTGCAGTTTAAAACGAAGAAATTACTCGTTCTAAATGGCCGTTAATTTAAAAAGTGTTCTCGTTAGCGATGCTGTTGATCCACTTTGTGTGGATTTATTAAAAAGTCACGGAGTCGAAGTCGTTTGCAAATTTAAATTACCCAAGGATGAACTCATAAGAGAATTACAAGTAAAAATATATTTCTCTTTTTCATATCTGAAAAGGTTTGACGTCGTTTGTTTTAACGGTTTTTTTGTATTGTTGTTACTAGGAACACGATGGATTGATTGTTAGATCGGATACCAAAGTAACCAAGGATGTCATCAACAGCGTTTCTAATTTAAAAGTCATTGGAAGAGCCGGTACTGGTGTCGATAATATCGATTTAGAAGCTGCCACTAAAAAAGGAATAACCGTTTTAAAGTAAGGCATACCTCCCCCCCCCCCCCACACACACACACATGAGGTTGAGGGTCTAGTTGGTTGATTGTTAATTGACAAAATCTTTACTTTTCCAGCACTCCAGGGGGGAATTCTATCAGTGCTTGCGAAATGACTTGTGCATTGATAACGAATCTGGCAAGAAACGTCGTTCAAGCGTGTCAATCATTAAAAGAAGGAAGGTGGGATAGAAAATTGTACACCGGAAATGAATTGTACGGTAAGACGTTGGCCGTGTTAGGGCTGGGAAGAATAGGAAGAGAAGTTGCTCGACGTATGGCTTCTTTCGGGATGAGAGTACGTTTGCTATACTAAACATAACGAAATTAAGTACTTTAGTAAAAATTTTACTAAATGTTTATTTCCAGACTGTTGGATTCGATCCGATGGTGTCTAAAGAAGATGCTAAAGCGTTCGGAGTTGAAAAAATGGAATTGGATGAAATATGGCCGGTCGCGGATTTCATAACCGTACACACGCCATTAATACCTCAAACGAGAAGTAAATAAAATTAAAAAAAAAAATTTACGAATAAATATTTACTGATTTACTAACGTTGAAAACTTTTTTCTTTGTTTAAAGACTTAGTAAACGATAAAACATTAGGAAAATGTAAAAAAGGTGTTTGCATAATTAACGTGGCACGTGGAGGAATCATCGATGAGGAAGCGTTGTTGAGAGCATTGAAAGGTAAATAAAAAAAATTTTTTTTTTTTCTAAAATTTCGATTTAAAGGAATAAAAAACATTTCCGGTTTTAGATGGTAAATGCGGAGGAGCAGCTTTGGACGTATTCGAAGAAGAACCACCGAAAAACGACGTGACTTTACAACTTATAAAACATCCATTGGTCGTCACGACGCCACATTTGGGTGCGAGCACGTACGAGGCACAACAAAGAGTCGCCGTGGAAATAGCCGAACAATTTATCGCTCTCTCCGGAAAGAACAAACCCAATGAAAATTTCGTCGTGAACGGAGCCGTTAACGCTCCCGTACTTTCAGCTGCCATGATCGATACAAATACTCCCTGGATAAATTTAGCAGAAAAACTCGGACGATTGCTCGGGTCTTTTTCAAACAAGTCACTCAAGGGTCTGTCGTTCAATTAACGACCGTAGGTAAGCAAGAATTTCAGTCACAAAAAAAAAAAAGGTTTTCAAGATATCACGTGACCGATAAGAACCGTTTTCAGTGGAATTATTATGTGTAAATTACACGTAGATTAAGATCACAAACAATATCGGATGACATTGTGTCAATCATATTCAATTGAATGTAATTACTTATCTCGTGTATCTTTTGACATTTACAAATGAATTTTTTTTTTTTTTAGGAAAACAATTAGAAAATATGAAATTTTTAAACGTGCCATTATTATCCGGATTCCTTGCAACTCAAACCAATGCAGGTTTGAATTTGATAAATGCTCCAGCCATTGCAAAAGAAGTCGGATTGGAAGTTCAATACGGTAACAAACCTGGAGAACAACCATGTTTGGAAATATCTCTCGGATCTTATACCGTTTTGGGTAATTTTTTTTTTGAACGTCTCCCTTCGAAAACGAAAATTTACGAATAAAATAAATCACGTTAATAATTTTTCATTTTTTTTTTTTTTTTTTTAGGTACCGTCGGTGCGAACAAATCATCGGTTGTATTGTCAATAAACGGTAGCAAATTCTTGCCCTCGGGCGTTGCCATAGGTAAAAATTTCCACGTTTTCGAATCGGGTAAAGATAAACTGGATCTCAGCGCAATATTATCACAAATCAAACAAAATGGCGAACAAGTTATGAATTTAGCCGTTGCATCGGGTTTGTCAAAAAGTTTCGTACTCGCACAAACGGCAAAAGATTTATCGGTTTTAAATGTTGCCGATTTATCCGTGAGCTAAAATATACGTCGTAAATTCAACAAAAAAAAGTTAATAATTAATTAATTGGTTAATTGGTGATTAAATTTAAAAAAAAAAAAAAAAATGATATGAATATATAAAAATAAATAAATTTATTAATTAATTAATATTGGTTCATAAGTATTATTTTAAACAAAAAAAAAGCAGAAGAATTATTAATATCAACATTATTAAATTAATTTAAAAAAAAAAAAAAAAAAGATTTAACGTTTAATTATTATTATTTTAATTTCCCATACGTAAAAAAAATTATTATTATCATCATTATCAGAATTTATGTAATTTTAATTTACAACAAAAACTATATTAATAATAATATTCGTTGAATTTACTTATTATTTATCATTATTGTTTTTCTTTTTTTTTTTTTTAAATAAAATAATCAAACAGAAAATTAATTTTATACAAAATTATTAATTATATTATTTATTTTTAACGAATGATGATAAAAATTTCAAAAAATTTTTATTATTATTATTATTATTATTTTGTTCTTAACGTAACGTTTTCATTTTTTTTTTTTTTTTTTGTGGGACAAAGACTAGTAATAATTTTTAAATAATTTGATAAAATTAAACAAAACTTACAATTTGAAGTGTGACGCACTCGAATAACAATGTGAAAAAATAATAATAATACTCACTTAATAAATTAAATTAAACTTATAAATAATAACACACGAGAAAACAAAACAAATTTTTTTTAAAAAAAAAACCAAACAATACTTAACATGATACACGAGTAACTTTTTTTTAAGTATAAAACAAACTGTAAAAATATAAATATATATGCATAAAAAATAAATTTTATGCTTTTATATTGCAAATTTTGAAACTGAGACTTGGGTTATAAAGCACACATAAACCACAATTTATTATTTACTGTTTTTTTTTTTTTTTAAATTAAAAAACCGATTAGTTTGCTAAATTATACCTATATTGAATCATATGTATCTGGTTTTTCTTTTCCACAACTTTTAACATAATTAAAACAATTCTGTAAAAAGAAAAATAAATATTAACACCTCTATGGAGTTTGATACATTTAAAAAAAAAACAAAGATGGAGAATAATGTGAAAGGTAAAATAATTATTACAAATAATTACCCTAATGGAATGAGGTAAACCACACCAAAACTCGTGATTGGGAATCATTTCAATACCAGTCGCTCCTCTTAAAAATTTCAATATAAGTATACCACCGACAAAATAAATAATTGCAACTATGACTAATATTAACATAAAAACTCCAAAACCTGACATGTGTTTTGCAGTTTCAATACATGCATATTTTGTACTAAGGTTTAATACCTGAAATAAATTTTAACTTTACATAAAATATGTACATAATTAATCGTATTGAAATAAAAAAAATAAAACGAAACTCACATGTTTATCATTGGAATTATTTACAACTGTTAATTTATAATCATGAATTTTTTCATCACAGTGTAGGATAACTACTGTAGTTATAACATTATTACTAACATAAAAAAAATTATATATACATAATTAAAAAATAAAAAAAAAGTTAAAAAAAATATATATAAATTTTTATCGTGAGTAAAAAACAAAAAAAAAAAACTTACTTATTAATATTTTTATAAATAATTTCTGTTTCTCCTTTCGTGTTCATGCTAAACACTGCTTCACTATTGAGTGCCAATTTAGTAAAATTACCAATTGTTTTATTTTGTATAACATCATTATAATTAATTGGATTTACAGTTTGATTGTATGGTAGAAAATAACACAGTCCAAATTTATCGGTGCATTCATTTTTACCACCTTTATAAATCAATGGATAATCTTGACAAGGATAATATATATACAAGTACGAAGAAGTGGACACCGTCAGAGGACTGTAAAAACAAGAAACAAACAAAGAAATAAATTTTTCAAAATTCAAAAAAGAATAATAATTTTTTTAAAAATATTCTTACTTTGTATTATTCGATAAAGGTGATAAATCTATAACATCACCATCGTTATTTGAACACTGACAAGGTCCATTTTGAAAACAAAATAATTTATCATTTATCAAATCCGAATAAACATAATTAATATGAAGAATAAATAAAATGAAAAATAGAAAAATTATATTATTAATAAAATGTAAAAGGCACATTTCTATTATTATTTATTTATATAAATTCCATGAGTAAACGTTAAAACTAGAAATTAATAAATACGGTGCATATACTTAAATCAGATAAAAAAAAAAAAAAAAAAAATGTCGTCTGCAATTGATTTTACCGCGAAGTCTTATGAATAAATAAATCTCTCTCTCTCATTGCAGACGGTCGGTTTGAAATTTAAAATGGCGGATTCTTTAGAGGATTTGGAATTTAATATAAAATTTCCAACGTGTACGTCGAAAGATTTATTTAATAGAAACGTGAATGATAATAAAGAATTATTATTATATAATAACGAACAAGAAAAATTACCCGTTATTATTTTATTCGGTTGGACGGGTTGTCAAGATAAATATTTAGCTAAATACAGTTCGATATACGAAAAAAAAGGGTAATGAAATATGAATTTTTTTTAATAATTAAATGTAAATCGATTATTTTCAAACGATCACAATACAATAATTAACCTTTTTTTTGTTATAATTAAGTATAGATATTTAAATAAGAGTAAATATTTTGAGTCGCAAAAAAAATGTCATTATTTATTTCAGGTGTATTACACTAAGATGTATTGCACCGGTGAGTGTTATTTTTTTAAGGCACGATAAATTTCCTAAACTCGGTGAAAAATTATTACATTTAATTTATCAAGTTTCACTGGATAAACATCCAATTTTTTTTCACATGTTTTCTAATGGCGGTGCTTTCTTTTATCAACACGTCAGTTTTCAAATGCAAAAAAAACAATTGAAATTACAGGTGAGAATAAATATATATGTATCGATTTTCAAATTCTGCCCAAATATGTAAGTTAAAAAAAAAACAAATTGATGTAATGTAAAAGTAAACCTTTTTATTTTAAGGTAAAAGGAGCCATTTTTGATTCAGCACCTGGAGAAAGAAGATTTTATTCAGTTTATAAAGCATTGACGGCCATATTAGGTGGCCCATCTTGGTATAACGTTCCACTTGGATTTTGTATTTCAGTATTTTTATTTACAGTTTTTTTAATATTGGTAAAATTTTTTTTACAATCAAACATTTATCCTTTTTCTCTTTAACGTTCGATATTAATTTTACTTTTCTTTTTTTTTCAAAAAAAAAAACAAAAGGCAATATTAAAAGGAATAAAAGAATTTAAAAAACCTCAGACTGATCCTTTAGTTTTGGTTAATGAACCCTATAATTGGCCTCAATTATTTATTTATTCAAAAAATGACAGTTTAGTTAAATTTCAAGTAAGTATCAACAATCTCGCGTTTTTATTATTAATAATAATAATAATAATAATAATAATAATAATAATAATAATAATAATAATAAACTCATCGTTTTTTCAGGATATAGAAAAATTTGCGGACAAAAGGAAAAATATGGGTATTAAAATAGAAAAATTATGTTTTGATGATTCCCCTCACGTTCAACATTTGGTAACGCATAGAGAAAAATACATAAATACGATCATGAAATTTTTACAAAATTGTTTAGATTCTAGTAACGTAACGAAAAAAAAATTATATTAAATATATATTTATATGTTTGTTTGTTTGTTTGTTTGTTGTAAAATCATACATATATATATATATATTTCATAAGTTATTGTTATTAATGTTATTATTTTTTAATAATCCGAATTGTATTTATTATATTTTATGGCTGCACGTAAATATTTTTTAATTATTTATTATTATTATCATTATTTTTTTTACGTCACTTTAAAATTCTAACAAATAAATAAATAATATTGATAATAATAATAATAATTTATTTTAATATACAATTTTAAAAAAAATAAAAATAAAATTCATCATTATTTAAATAATTTTTTTTTATTCAAATATCAAATAATAATAATAATAATAAAAATAATCAATTTGGTTTTTTTTTTTTTTTTTTTAAACATCTAAAAGCAAAAATTTTAATTTAATGCACTTAAATAATAATAATAATAATAATAATAATAATAATATAAAAAAAAATAATAATAAAAAAACTGAGAAACGATTAAACAATTAATAAAAGGGCACGTAGGAATTAATTTTTTTTTTTTATGTATTTTAAAAAATAATAATAATAATAATAAAAATAACACGAATTTCGACCAGATTATATATATATATATATGTAAATGGCTTTAAAAAAGTATAAACACTTCCTCTCCTCCTCCTCCTCATCCTTTCCCCCTCCTTCCCTCCCTTCCCCTCCCTCAGCTAATTTACGTAAATAATTATATATATATATATATATATTTTTTTATTTATTTATCAACATTTATTTATTTTATTTTTTTTCTCTATTTATTAAAAAAAAACAAACAAAAAAGAAACCTTAATATAAGTAATGACAAAAAAAATATCATTATTATTATTATCATCATTATCTTTTTTCTATATTTTTTTATACATATATAGAAATACTCGATAACTGTTATTTGTTTGCTACCTTTTATCATTTTTTTTAATATCGTTTCACAGTAAATATTATTATTATTATAATAAAAAAATAAAAAGTAATAATAATAATAATAATGATAACAAAAATAAAAATAAAAAAAAAAAGAAGAAAATATCACATTTATATATATTTATATATTCATATTATTACTTATATACGATTATAAATTAACATATTTATTCATTATTATCATCATCATCATCATCGTTTATAAAATTATTTTTATTTAATATAACTAATATTTAGTTTATTATTATTATTATTATTATTTTAATTCCCGTTATTAAGTAAGCCCCCTTATTTAAAATGATTTGATTTCATTTAAACAATTGATATATAAAAAAAAAAAAAAAAAAAACAAAAAAAAATTAAAAAAAAATACAAACAAGCACGAATTATTATTATTATTATTTCTTAATTAAAACAATTATTATTATTATTATTATTATCGGTACGAAATAATATTATACA